AAGGTCACTGGTATTGTAAGCTTGTACATTTTATTATTGGATCAAACTTTTATAACTGGATGGAAGTAGAGCCCCGTTACAACCTGTAATAGTTTTTATGTGATGTTTCTGGCAGGTGGATAAAGGGGTTGTTCCTCTTGCTGGTACCGATGGTGAAACCACAACTCAAGGTAGGTAATTAAAATGTTGTTGCCTAAATCCCACAAATTTGGAATTTAAAGATAATGAATAGGTTAGTGTGTTTAATGCTCTATAAAGAAGAAAAAAATCAGCCTAATGTACTGGAGAGGGAGGGCACACAATGCTTGCCCTACTTATGACTTGGATTGCTATTTGATGGTTTGCCGTTTACTGCTGCTCCTCCCTGGAGCAAATCTGCAAGTCCGTTGACGCAATAGAAAGCATATACCCCCTGTATGACTGATCTCTTAACATGTATGCATGAGAAAAATCTTGCCCTCTACTGGCAATTGTACAAATCTCTAAATATTAATAAAAATACGTAAAAATGTGCAATGCAAATAAAATCTAGACCAACCTTTTGTCTCTAGGATAAATAAAATGTTAATGGACCCAGTTGGTAAAATGTTTAACCACTTTGGTGTCTTGAAAGTGAGAGATGCGTACTAAAAAAACGCTACAACTTCAGCATAGTTTAGGATGCATGTCCTGTGCCTCTCCCCGCCTCTATTAGCAGCAATAACAGCCGGGAATTACTTTGTATTACAGCAGGGGTGACTGACAAACTGCTGCACTTCTGTGTAAAATGATATTTGCAGATAGTCTGCAAGTATCATTTGAGTATTTTGCTGTGCTGGGAGCATGCTCTCTGCCCGCTCCCAGCACAGTAATTGAAGCGTCACAGAAAGCACCCGATCATAAGTATGCATCGGGAGCTTTCTGATCATGTGACCACTGTGTGGACCTAACTCTAAAAATTTCCAAAACCTCCATAGTAGGAGCACAAGTATCAGTGGATAGGTTAAGGGCAGTGCGCCTGGAGGAGCCCATCCCTCCTTTACAGGGGCGCCCAGCAATATCAAAATGACTGCAAAGGCATGCAGTGCATCCCTACATAAAATTAGTCAACTACACAAAAAATGGCAACCATCCCAGGTCCCAACCAAAATTTTTTTTTTTTTTTTTTTTTTTTTTTTTCCCCCTTTTCCTCCCGTTTCAGTATTTTATTAACAGAAGGCCAAAATTGATGGAAAAGAAATAGTGTGGGAGAGTGTTGGAATGACGCAGCTTCCATCTGGGAAAGCAGAGAGTATTCAGACCTATTGGACAGTAAAATCGCCCGAATGGGGTCTACAAAATCAAGGATATCCCAGCCCAGAAGATGCTGAAGCTGGTTGGCAAAAAAAAAAATAAAAAAAAAAAAAAATACATTTTGGGGTGTGGGATGGCCAATCCACCAGCATCCCTTCCCAGTTGAAGTGTGGATAGTATAATTGGGGGGGAGATTTCTTTTTCCAAATAAGTTCTCGGAATAGAGTTTATACCATTTTTGTGGTACACAAGTGGGAGAGTTTTTATGCAGGATATATAGTAATTGAGGGGCCCAGATTGTTCTAATAAAGTTAGTGGCCAACTACTGTTAGGGGGAGCTTATATCGTTGTGATTTGTGAATGTTGATCATTTATGATAACGATCTGGTGGCAGTGATTTGACGGTATAAAAGGCTCCTAGTTAACCGACCCCAGTGACAATCGCTCTGTCTGCTGGCACTTGGATTGTGGTCCTGCAAGCTTGAATATCTTTGTACAGGGTGAGGCTGAGAGTGCCATTGTCACACATCAGTGACAGCGTGGTGTATGTTTGTTTGTGGTCAGCTATTTGCTACTTAGGGAAGGCGGCCAGGGTCTGACACTGCGTCTATCACAGATGCCTTCCCCCCCCCCCCCCCCCCCCCCCCCCCCCCCCCATTCTCTGCTATGTCTCAGTCTCCTAAATACCAAGCCAAATTTGGATACTTTCCCTGCTTCCAAAAAACAAAAATAAATTTAACTATGTATTAATGCCTACAGAGGCTGCATTAGTTTATGCATTTTCTGTCTGTCTAACGTTCAGCTTGAAGATGTTGCTGTATGTAGGTCAAAGGTATCAGTAGCTGACTCTCCATTAGCCGTCACTGGGAAATTTTAGAGCTTTGGGTGTGGGACATTGCTATTGTCTATGAAATGGAGCTTTATTCTTTTGATTCTGTGGGGGGTGATCATAGGAATATCATGCAGTGCACCCACCTGTCAGTTCAGCTGCCAGATTAGTTAACTCTTTTGTTTTTCTAGGTTTGGATGGCTTGTCAGAGCGTTGTGCTCAATACAAGAAGGATGGTGCTGACTTTGCAAAGTGGAGATGCGTACTGAAAATTAGTGAGCACACTCCCTCTTCACTGTCCATCATGGAGAATGCCAATGTCCTAGCTCGCTATGCAAGCATTTGCCAGCAGGTGAGTGGGTTATAGTTTGTGGCAGCACAGAGAATACAAGATGGTGTTAATGACCAAAGGCATCAGAATAACATGTCCTCAATGTAGATATATTTATTCTCTTCTTGCAGAATGGTATTGTTCCCATTGTGGAGCCAGAGATTCTTCCTGATGGAGATCATGACTTGAAACGCTGTCAGTACGTCACTGAGAAGGTGTGTACGCCCTGATCTGCCCGCTGGTTATAAGTGCTAGCTCTTTGAGGACCAAGGGACGTATTTGTCCCATGGTTTTAATTGCCTGTATCATCTGATTAAGAACTTTAAATATTTTTTTTTTTTTACAGCTAAAAAAAAACTCCCCTAGAAGCCCACTAGTTTCGTGTGGTGTGTTTGTGTTTTTTTTTTTTTTTTTTTTTTTTTTTTCCCCCAGCCAAACCCCCCCCCCCCCCCCCCTGCCAAAAACACTGATTACGGTCTATGTGTGCATGGACACATAGGATAAGATGCTGGGGAGTCTACTGGCTGTAGAGAAAAATGGCAGCTGTAAAAACGTTCCATGTGCATGAGGACTTAAAGTAATGACCAAGGTCTTTGTAATATGAGGATTCAGTGTACAGTGGAACAGCGTATACAAGTGCAAAAACCTGACCTGTATTTCTACTAATTTGAAAACATTATCTGGCACTTTAATTTATACACAAATTTTTAATTTATTACTATCAAGTGTACGTTGCGCTAAATATTTTTCTATGTGTTCACAAGTCTGTATTTTTATAAATCAATCGGTCTCTACCCTTTTTTTTTTTTTTTTTTTTTTCTTTTTTTTTTTTTTTAAATGTACTTTTTCCATCTGAAGTACATTTTTAATCCTGCTAGTTACCTTTTCTTCCTTTGTGCTAAATTGACTACAAAAAGCACAGAAGCTGATCTGTGTTGGTGTGGTCATTTTTCATCCTTTCCTGGCCGTTCAGAGGTACAGGACATGACTGTATTGGGTAGTTTGTTCAGCCACCATGCCTCCTGACCAAATTGCAGCCTGCCTCAGGCACACCCCCTCCCAATCACAGCCTGCCCCCCTGTTCAAACACAGCTTGCTTCAGCCTGAACAGCCTATGTAATACTGGCACAGAGTGTGAGTGTGCACAGTGTCCTGTAACCTCACCTCTCACTATCAGGAAGTAGAGCTGCATGTCACAAGACAGAACTTTTCACCTTGTAGAAAAGGGAAGAGAGGCCTGTTCTGAATCTAAGCAAAAGCAGTTCTGGTGCCTGCATAGTTAAAACTGATAACATTGTATGTTCACAACTACTTAAACCGTTAACCTAAGCTGTACATGTCCGGGTTTTTTTTCTAGGTTCTAGCTGCAGTCTACAAGGCTCTAAGTGACCATCATATTTATCTGGAGGGCACACTACTGAAACCAAACATGGTAACTGCTGGCCATGCCTGCCCCAAAAAGTACACTGCTGAGGAGATTGCAATGGCAACTGTGACTGCACTTCGCCGCACTGTGCCACCTGCTGTCCCAGGTAAAAACCAAGGGTTTTTTTTGGTCCCAATGATGCTTTGCCTGTAGTTTAAAGTAAAACTATGACCTTCCATTTTAACCACTTGCCCTCAAAAGGATTTACCCCCTTTTTGTGACAGGCCATTTTTTTGCATTACGGCGCCACGGTATTTCAACTGCTAATTGCGCGGGTCATGCAATGCTGTACTCAAACTAAATATGTTTTTTTTTTTTTTTTTTTGTTTTCCACACAAATGGAGATTTCTTTTGTTGGTATTTGATCACCTGTGCGGCTATTTTAAAAATTTTTTTTCTAGAAACAGACTGACCATTTTGGGGGAAAAAAACCCAAAAACAATAGTTTTGACTTTTTGCTATAAAATATATCCGGTAAAATGAAATCAAATTTCTTCATACATTTAGGCCAAAATGTATTCTGCTACATCTTTGCTTTAAGAAAAAAAAAAATCCCAAGAGATGGAAATTAAATTGGTTTACATGAAAGTTATAGCGCCAACGTGTGTGCGTGCGTGCGTGTGTGTGTGAATGTATGCATATATGAAGGAAAAAAAAAATATAATACTAGTAATGGCGGCAATCAGCGACTTGTAGCGGGACTGCGGTGGACATTCTGACGCTGGGTGGGAACTGACTGCCACTGACATTCCAATGACACTAATACAGTGATCAGTGCTAAAAAAAAAAAGGCATTGACACTGGGCAGGAAGGGGTTAACATCTGGGGCAATCAAAGGGTTAACTGTGCTGTTTTACTAGGGAAACCTGCTGCTGTGTATTTCTTTGCTGTGCAGAGAAATACACAGCAGCATGTTCTTGCTGGCAGTAGAGACCTTTGCTGTGCACACACTATTTTTGCATAGCCATGTAGTGGCTATCAGCATTACTCCTACTGATTTAACAAGTCCACAATAGCTTGTCGGTGAAATCCGCAGCTAGCCCTGCCCATGGCTTTCTGGATTGGCAGAACTGACTGACTGTGCTGCTGAAACCCTTCCACTTATGACTGCGGTGTTTGAGAAAGGGAGTGTGTAAAAATGTACAAATGGATGAGGATTGGGCTGACTTTTTTTTTTTTTCCCCTCCCCTTCCCTCTTTTGAGGCACTTGGGAAGCATAGTAACTAAATTTGACACCTGTTTTCGAGTCCCACACAGTAGCCTTTGGATTTATTTGCTATGATTTAAGCACATGTAGCATGACACTGTTCCCTGCTTGTAGAAGCCCTGATGTATTTGTATTGCTGGATTACTAAAACTTGCTTGAAATTTGCCTACGTATGAGTGCAGTCATCCACGTTTCTATGTGAAGTATCCTTTTGGCTGCAAACTGGACCTCTCTGTATGGAATGTGGGCTAACCTGGAGCAGTGTCTTCACATTCTAGGAGCCTTTAAATGTATTTTAATTTTTGCAAATGCGGCAGCCATCACACACCCTACATAAACACAAAATACAACAGGGAGAGTCATTTGAAATTTTGGAACAAACTTAAAACTCCATCTTTGTAGTAGATTAAATGTATGACATGGCATATATCTAAAATTGGGAGGCTAATTTACTGATTTACTATACAATCTAATCTTGTCATTTCTACTCTTACTCTACAGGTGTTACTTTCTTGTCTGGCGGACAGAGTGAGGAGGAAGCCACTATTAATCTGAATGCAATCAACAACTGTCCTCTAGCAAGGCCTTGGGCTCTTACTTTCTCCTATGGACGTGCTCTCCAGGCCTCAGCACTGAATGCTTGGCGTGGCAAGAAGCAAAATGAGCATGCAGCTTCAGAGGAGTTCTTGAAACGTGCAGAGGTAATGTTCTCAGACCCAAAGCTGGCAACACACATTACAATCTGCATGCACAATCTAGATTTGCTTAGGAAACATTGTGCATAACTCTGTAACGTCTGGGCTCATCCAAGACCCGCTGATAGGCTGAAGTGGAGCAGCAGGTGGATGACATCACCATCTATATCTTGGCACATTCCAGGAAGCCTTTGTATTTGCTGATAAAAATAAAAGGCTTTTTTGAATGGCACATTGAGCCTCAATCACTTTTTATCCAGCAGAAGATGGGAAGTCTCCCACACTGCTGCTGGAACACAGCTCCGTGTAAGGGCTTGTTTACACATGCTTCAAAATGCGGACAAGCTTTTTTTTTTTTTTTTTTTTTTTTTTTTTTTTAAATCGCTCTGAATGCCAATCAAAGCCCCATCTCTAAATAAAATGGTTAGCTTCAGTCTGCAGGGATGTTGACCCCTGTCTCAGAATAACTGACCAATTTTAGCAGGCCAGTTTCCTGGACACTGATGTTCTTGACTTTCATGCAACTCTACAATGACTCTATTTCGCAAATGGGTACTGAATTCATTATGGGGCATGTTTCTCCACCACCATAACTCACCTGTATGGCTATGACATGTTTTAGTGATTTTTGTTAATTATGGGAAGATCAGTAAATACCATTTGTGAGTTAAAAGATTACCCCGTCATAACCGCCACACTTTTCCTGCAAATGCCTACTGCAGGAGTAGGAAACCTCAGCACTCTAGGTATGGTGACACTACAAACCTCATCATGCTTCTTCTGGAAGTCATGTCTATGGCTGTCAGTTTTGCAGTGTCCATTGTTTTCGCTACAGTTGGGGTGTTGAAGTTCCCTACCCCTGGCTTACTGTTGTTGTGTCTTCCACAATCCTTTTCTGCACGTACTGACTCCTCTAATGCCCACTGCCCTACCAATTGTGATCCTCTACTCCATGTACTGAACACTGTCATACCCCCTACACCCTGCTCTTGCACATACTGCCTACTGTCATGCCCTCCGTACACCCCTACATAACTGCCTGCTGCCACACACTTCTCTTAGGTCTCCTTTTCTGCAGTGATTGCCCCCTAGGATAGTCTTCCCTCTCTACTCCTGTACATATTTACCTCCCATCATGCAATCTGCAGTCTGTTCATGGTGCTTGCTGTCATCACCTCTGTACTGCACATAATTTCTACAGTCATATCCCTCCTTACGTTTCCTACATATACTAGTCTTTCCTTTTTTTTCCTTTTTTTATATTCTTCATAAAAAAAAAAAAAAAAAAAGGAAAGGCACCCTAGGCTACTCACTCCTGACTTGGACAGCATAACACCCCCTTTCTGATCTCAATAATATAAGGGTGAAGGTGCTCTGTAGTATAGAGGTGAAATAGGGAGGGCCGATGCCGCTACTTAGCATTTCAGTGCAGCAGTGTACTGAAAGTCACAAGCTTGTTAACTATATATTTTTTGTCCATTCTTGTTATTGAACCGGTAAAACACAATGCTTTTAAATGGTGTATTTTAATGGAGCAAATTAACTTCTTAGGATTTAGATACACTTCATTTTGGGGGAGGGGGGATGTTTACATATACAACAAATATTAACATCTGATTTTCTTGAATCTTCCCTTTTTTTTAGGTAAATGGCCTAGCAGCCCGTGGAAAGTATGAGCAGAGTGGTGATGGATCAGGGGCAGCTAGTCAGTCCCTGTACGTTGCTAACCATGCCTATTAAGTTTGGCAGCCATATGAGCACTGACCTGCAGAACACCTCCACTCTGCTTCCCTCGTTCTTCAAGCAGCATTCACGTGGACATCCCCTGCAGCCAAAGCTTGGAATAACCACAGCCATTGCCTCCCAGCCTTTCCCAGTAATATTACACTGCCAGTATAAGCCTACCTTGGCTTGTGCTGTGGTGGTGGATCTTAAATACAATGATGGGATCCAGCCTTTGTCTTGCAGTGTAATGTCTTTGGTTGTGTTTAACTATTTTCCTACTAGATCTTTTATTTTTTACAGGCTGATTTTACAGATCTAAGGATAGAGAAAATAAGGTAAAGCTATTGAAAATGGTATGATATTTTACAAGTGGATAACACTGACCTCTGCTGGACAGGAGAAGGATAGATGTTTATGTAGCAAATTAATTTTCACTGATCTAGTACACTGGAATAATTCCCCTGCACAGTGCAGACACTATTGAACCCTTGGTCGTGTCTATTTTAGAACAGTCTCTCTCTTCAGTAACTCATTACTTCATCTAGGCACTGTTCTGTGAAAGGTCTTGCACTTTTGTGGTACATCCATAGATTGCGTGGTTGTGCGCTACTTATAACTCTGGGAGGTAGATCCATCCTTAAAGTACATTGGATGGTGTTAAAATACAGAAGCCCTTAACACTAGAGGAAAACTTACTGCTGTGTATATTGTGAAATAGTGTTGTCATTATCTGTATGCAACTGATGTACCAAATAGATTCAAAAAAATAATAAACTAGTGAAATTAAATGATGTTTGTTTGTTTTTTAATACGCTATAAAAGTACAGGCATTGTCCACCACATCTATTGGCTTCACTGGAGATTTCATGGTTTATGAGATACTTTACCATGGGCAAGTTGGACAGGTTCAACTGGTGCAGTGCTACAGGTTGATTCCAACAGAACAAGCTTGTTTTAATTTAATCTTTCTAGTTTTTATTTCTGCACCTCCCATTTGACTATATTGTATGTGACAATAGGAAGAATAAAGAGAAGCTACTATATGTATCCATGCCTAATTGAAGCATGTGAAATCACTTGAAACTCTTCTGTTCAGGATTGTGCAACTGATTTGCTTTTGGAGTTCTCTAGCATCCTGAGGATAAAGGGGTGTATACGTACAGTTCTATGCTATTTTTCTGCAAGCAGTTCAGTTGGTCATTATAATTTCTCTAAAGACAGATCGACAGTGCCTAGATCCTCTCATTTTTATAGAAATCTGTCTATAGAGCGGAAAAGCTTGCCACACATTGCAGTCACTTTTTTTTTTAGATTTACCAAAACTATGAAATGTGGTGATAGTCTATCAAACAATTCAGTCAATTTGTGTCCAGTTATGCAGGTAGTTGCATTACTTGCTGGTAGATAAGGAGATTGTAGAACTCAGGTTGTAACATGTATGGTCATTGTAAGCTTGATGTCTGATCTGAAACTTGGAATGTGTACTCTCTGCTTTTGTGTAGGTTTTGGGTTATCTAGATGGCTTTCTCCTAAAGAGCTTATACCCTTCCAGCTGTCTATAAACATTCACAGGACAATTTAGATGCCCCAGGCTTTCAGCTGGGTGATCATTTTTCACAAATCTGCTCTTCAGCCTTCTCTTCCCCTGCAATTCTTGGGTTTGGTGCTAGACACATCCCAAGCAAAGGTTTTACTTCCATAAAAGACAATTCTGCCTCTGCTCTGGAATGGAGGTTAGAGACATCCCACAATGTTCTAGGCCTCATGGTATCCTCCTTCCAGGATATGCAATCCACCCAAAATAATTTGTGACCTCTCTAGCACACCACCTTGTCAACCTGGAACAAACACGCTCCTTCTCTTGACCTGCCCATGTTCCTATCCTGTCAAGCAAGGAATTCCCTAGCCCTTGGTGGATCTCCAGCCCAGTCTTTAAGTCTTTCCTTCCTTATCGATGTAAAGTGACAAATGACACTTTCAGGCTGGGAGTGTGGGAGGAGTGTTGTCCCTCACTGTCAAGGAAACATGGTCATCAGTGAAAGCCAAACTCCCCATCAGCATCCTGGATCCTAGAGCAATAAGGATGGCAGCTGTGGCCTACATCAACTACCAAGGGGGCACTAGGAGTCAGGCAGATTTGAAGAAAGCAAGCCAGTCAAGCTCATGCATGAAAATGTTGCTGCCCAGCTATGTCTGGTCCAAAAGGTGTGGGCAACTGGAAATCGGATTAATTCAGCTGTCGCCGCATGAATCAAGGAAAATGGGCCATTCACCCAGACATCTTCAACCTGATTCCGTATGCTAAAAATGGGGGGGGGGGGGGGGGGGGGCATGGATGTGGATATCTTGGCCTCCAGATTCAACCACAAACTACCTCTGTTTGTAGTAGTCATGAACAAGGACCCTCCTAGCATTGGCATTGGATGCCTTTTAATAATCCTCTGGTCTTAATTCAGATTACGGTAATCTGTCTTCCCTTCACTGCAAATTCTACCTTGTCTGCTCAACAAGACAGAGCAAGAGAAGAGGCTGGTGATTCTCATTGCACCAAACTAGCCCAGAAGAACCTTGGAAATAAACATACTACATAGACGAATAGTCCCCCAACCTCTCCCTAAAAGGCCAGACCTGCTGTCTCAGGGTCCTCTGTTCTATCCTGCTTTACAGTCACCAACCTTGAGGCCCAGATCTTGAGAGGGGGGGGAGTCTCTAAATCTGTTTCTACCTTTTGTAAGTGCAAGAAAAGTCACTTTTCCTTAGAGCTCTATTGTACAAGGAAATCATTTTTTGCTTGGTGCAAACAGTCACTTTAGTCCCAAACATTGCTGTGTCTTGCATTCTGGTGCTTTTTCACAGTTAGAACTTGAATGAAACCTGTCCTTACAGGAGTGCTTAAGGCCAAGTTCTAGTCATGTCCATTCTTTTTCAAAAACCTCTGGTTTTGCTCTCCCATGTCAAAACCTTTTATTCAAGTTGTATTTTGTAACAGGCATTTGCAGCACCATGTGCTTCCTTTAGGACTTGAACTTGGTTCTCTCTGCCCTGTACAAATCACCTTTTCATAAAAGGTCACCTAAGGGGGCATCCATGACTGGTTCAAAGTGTGTTGCAAACTCTGATATAGGGGATATAGCAATAAAAAAGGCCACTCTTTTAAGGAACTGTTCCTAATTCTTCTAAATGACAAGGTAGTCCTACATGCAAGAGTATCCTTTCTTCCTGAGGTGGTATCTGTCTTCCACCTCCAATGAAGGTGTAGTTCTGCCATCCTTTATGCCCTGCTCCAAAGCACCTAAAGGAAACTGCTCTTCTTTGTCTGGGTATAGAACCAGAAGAGTCTCTACCTCCAAAGCAACAGCTTCTATCAGGAACCCGGCCCCCTATTTTTCCTGTCCTCCAGGACCTCGCAAGTGACATCTTGCATCCACGTGTACCATCGCTTGATAGACAACTAATCGTAAGAACGTACACTTTCAATACCAAATCTGTGCTATTTTGTGTCCACTCCACCAGGTCTTTGGGAGTTTCCAATGCATTCTGGTACCAGGCCTCTGTAGCCTATCTTTGTAAGACCACCACCAGGTCCGCTGTTCATAACTTTTTTTTTCAATGTTCTACCTGGTGGACTTCCAAGCTTCTGCAGATGCTTCTTTTGGGGTCTTTCTGAAGCTGGGTCTGTTTATCCTTGCTGGACCTGTTGGTGCAATTGTTTGCTTGGTTCTTGGCCACCCTTCTCATTTATTGCATGGATATATCCCAGGGTCTATGAATACTCAGCCTGTGTGCTGTACGTTATGATTTAAGATGAGAGGACTTTTGACTTGCCTATAAATTCCATATCTTGGAGAACAGTACAGGACCCAGGCAACTCTCCCTCCAATTACTTAGTTTTGTAGCAAGCAATGCAGAGTAACCGAGGTCTCTGTGGGAAAGGGTTATATGGAAGGTGCCCAGGGACTTTGCCACATGCTGGTATGAACCTACAACCCAGGTTATATGAATACTTGACCTGTGTCCTTTACTGTACTCCAAGATATGGCATTTGCATCTGACAAAAAGGAAAATTTGACAAACTGTAAAGTTAACCAGTGGGAGTCTTTTATGATCTACATGAAGTAAAGTTAACACTGCTGACATGAACAAACCTAAAGTGTGACTGTAAGTAGCTGTTTGTGAAAGTGGCTGGGGATTTTTACTAATATAGTGGACTTCAATCAACTGTTTATAACCTGCTCTAGAAGAAGTGTGTGTGTGTGTGTGTGTGTGTGTGTGTGTGTGTGTGTGTGTGTGTGTGTGTGTGTGTGTGTGTGTGTGTGTGTGTGTGTGTGTGTGTGTGTGTGTGTGTGTGTGTGTGTGTGTGTGTGTCAATCCAAATGAATTTGAAGTGCAGATTTTAACACTTGAGCTCCAGAGGATTTACCCCCCTTAATGACCAGGGCTTTTTTTGCTGTTTGGCGCTGCACTAATTCAAATGATAATTGCACGGTCATGCAATGCTGTACCCAAACAAAATTTACGTCCTTTTTTTCACACAAATAGAGCTTTCTTTTGGTGGTATTTGATCACCTGTGCGCTTTGTTTTTCTGCGCTATAAACAAAAACACGAAAATTTTGAAAAAAAAACAATATTTTTTCTACTTTCAGCTATAAATAATATATCGTTAACTCAAAGTTAGTCATAAATTTAAGCCAAAATGTATTCTGCTACATGTTTTTGGTAAAAAAAATCCCAATAAGTGTATATTGATTGCTTTGTGTGAACGTTATAGCGTCTACAAACTATGGTATAGATAATTTGAAATTTACACAGCTTTTACTTTCTGACCGCCCATCACATCTCTTGAGGTGCTAAAATACCAGGATAGAACAAACACCCCCAAATGACCCCTTTTTCGGAAAGCAGACACCCTAAGCTATCTGCTGAGAGACATATTGTGTCCATGGAAGATTTATTTTTTTTTTTTTTTTTCGCACAAGTTTCTGGAAAATGACAAAAAAATGTTTGTTTTTTTTTT